TGGACTAAAATAAAATTATATTAAATTCGAATGTCAAATTAAAATAAATTAAAACATGTTATTCAGATTAAAATATTAATTATTAAAATTAAAGGCTCTAACTCGAATAATAAAACAATCTAAGTGCTAATAATGTAATTTAGTCTTATTTAATTAATTTGGGTTAAAATATAAATTATGAAAATTATAAGGGACTAATATAGTATTTACCCTAAATATATAAATATACGGGCTAGGACTAAAACATAATAAAATAATATTGGAAGACAAAATTAAAATAATCAAAAATTACTTTTAGTGACTAAATTGCAAAGATTACAAACTAGGATGGTTGCGGAAAGGGTTTATCCATGCGCGAAATTACAGATATACCCCTCCCAAAACGGCATCGTTTGGGAAGGGGTATAAATACCCTAAACGGCTGGCCCGAAGGGCCAGCATCCTCATTTCTTCTCTTCTTCTTCTCTCTCAAAATGAGAGAGTTATAAAACTCTCTCTCTTCTCTCTAAAACAGAGAGAAGCGACACCGGCCGACAGCCGTTCGCCGGTGTTGACCCCGCAACCGGCCACCGCATCCGGTGGTCGAAAAAATTTTTTTACACCAAAATATAGATCGGACCGTCCTATTGACGGTTTCGGTGACCGTTTCCATTAAAAAAACTCCCGATCGGAGCAAATCTACGAAAATACCTTCGGGTTTTGGTTGTTTCCGGCGACGGTTAGGGCTCTCTGATGACAGAGTAAGTTTCTTTCCTCTCTTCTCTCTTTTTTTTCTGGTTGCTGTGTTGTTGTTGACTGGGATCGTTGGTAGTTTTTTTTTCGTGGTGTCTCGTTTCTGTTTTTTTTTCTGTTCTTTTCTGTTGTTCTTGCTCTGTGTATGCTCTCCTTCTTTTGCAGGATTCGGTGGCTTTTATAGCCACCACGGAGTTCTGTTTGGACCGGTCCTAAGAGGGAAACCTCGATGAGTCACCAAAGCTAGGCTGGTGACTCACCGTAGGGATGGCTGTTGGTTGCCATCTGGCGTTCTGGAGTCTTCCTTGAGGGCGTCATGGCAGCAAGGCGTCGACAGCAAGGTGTTGTGGCATCTGGCAGCATCTGGAGGTGGCAGCTGGGATCTTCTGGAAACTTGAGGCGGCGGCATCAGTGCTAGGGTTTAGAAACCCTAGCTGAAACCTTAAATCAGTTCAGGATTTTTATTTGGGTCTGGGCCGGTTCTGGTTGGGCCTGGGTTTTGTATTTGGGCTGCAGGGATCTGGGCTTGTAATAATTATTTAATAATAATATAATATAATATTAATAATATTAATAATAATAATAATTTTAATAATAATAATAAAAACAAAAATGAAAAAAATAGTGTTTACATACATTATGCAAGTGAAGTGAGTGCTGAAAGTGAATCTAATTGCATCACCTGGAATTAGCTAAACGGAGAGGAAAAAGAAGCGGCGGAAACGTGAGAGGTAACCATAGGTGCGGAACCAAAATTACTAGTGATGTTATTGTTGTTAGCGACTTTTTACCTAGATTAATAAAAAAAATCATATTTAAATATTTTTATGTATTTTAAAATTTCAAATATGAATTTTAAAGACTTTATAAATATATTTTTGAAAAATTTAAACTTATTTTCAAATTTTTTTTTAATTATAATTTACCATATGTTTTTGAGAAATTTAAATGTTTAATGAGAAAGTTTTGTCGTCTTTATGATTTTAATTGATTTAGATTAGTCTCAACTTAGGTTGTTAAATAAATAGAAGATTTCTCTGATTCATAAGATTAATAAATCTGTATATAACTATTTTATCAGTTTTCTTAAGATCATTAGTTTAAATAATTTTTATAAATATATTTTATTATATAGCACAAACCATTTGCCTTTGTAGTAAAAAATTGTTGTTATTATTTGATAATTCGTATTTGACCACCATAAATATTGTTAGAAATCAAATTTAATTCTGAAAAAGTCAATAAAAATGGCTATAAAGTGAAAATAAAATGAAATATGAGATGGAATATGAGTGAAAGCTTAGAAAAGCTATTAGAGAGAATTGAGGAAAGCTTAGCAAAGTATAGAATAGTGATGTTGTGTTTGTAAATTAGTCGCAACTATTATTGTAATATTGGGGTAACATCGTTGTAACGTATTTTACCTCATATTAATAAAAGTGCGAGTTATATAAATTATCGAGTGCTCATCTACGCTTCCAAAAAGTTGTATCAGAGCTTGGTTCGAGTTTAACGTGGTAGAGAAGACGACCAACATGATTCAACCTCAAATCCCGAGATTGACAAAGATGAATTATGACAATTGGAGCATTCAAATGAAAGTGTTACTAGGCTCCCAAGATTGTTGGGATATCATTGAGGATGGTTACACCGAGCCTGAAAATGCAGCAGCAGAAGCAGTCCTTACCAATGAAGAAAAGAAGATATTGAAGGAATCTCGAAAAAATATTAAAAAAACGTTGTTCTTTATTTTTCAAGGAGTAGACGAATCTATCTTTGAAAAAATTTCTGATGCGAAGACCGCAAAACAAGCATGTGAGATCTTACAAAAATCTCTCCAAGGTGCCGAAAAAACAAAGAAGGTACGTTTACAAACTCTTAGAGCTGAGTTTAAGATGTTAAAAATGAAAAATATGAAAAACATCGATGATTATATTAGTCGTGTAAAAGCAGTCGTGAATGAAATGGTGAATCACTCGACGAGGTTAGAGTGATAGAAAATTTTTTGCAGTCATTGACAAGAAAATTTGATTATGTGGTTGTGGCAATCGAATAATCAAAAGATTTATCCCAAATATCGATCGATGAGCTTGTGGGTTCACTTCAAGCTCATGAACAAAAAATGAAACAAAATGAAGATTCTGAAAATTTGGAGCAAGCTTTATAAAGTAAGATGAATGTCAATAAAGGAGAGGCTAGAAGCAGGTACACACGAGGACGAAGAACTCGTGGACGTGGTGGTTGGTCATATGATACCAATCAAATAAGTGAAAACAATCAAACATCAGGTCGTGGAAGAAGATTCAAAGGCCGAGGCCAAGATAAAGGCAGATATCAACAAGGAAATAAATCTCAGGTATAATGTTATAATTGCAATAAGTATGGTCATTATAGTTATGAGTGTAGATTTGCTCCTAAACAAGAAGAAAGAAATAACATAGCAACAGCTGAAGAAGAAAATATTGGAAAATCTCATGTATTCCTCACTTATAAAGGAAATGAAGAATTCAAGAAAAATATTTGGTATCTTGATAATTGTGCCAGCAACCATATGTGTGGTCAAAAGGAATTGTTTGTGAAATTAGATGAAACAGTATATGGGCGAGTAACTTTCGAAGATGACTCGCACGCAGAACTAAAAAGAAAAGGCGAAGTCATGATTACTCAGAGAAATAGAGAAAAGAAATACATTTCAGATGTTTATTATGTACCTGCTTTGAAAAGCAATATCATATGTCTTGGTCAACTCCTGGAAAAATGATATGAAGTGCATATGAAGAATCGTTTGCTTGCCATCAAAAATAAAGAAGGAGAATTGATAGCTCAAGTTAATATGACTTGAAATCGTCTATTTCCAATTGATATCGAGTCAGGAGAAGTCAAGTGCATGAAGACCGCTATCAAAGATGATAAGCGGAGAAAAGTTCGGAATGAAAAATCAAGTTTGAGGGGAGTGTTAGAAATCAAACTTAATTCTGAAAAAGTCAACAAAGATGGCTATAAAGTGAAAAGAAAAAGTAATATAAGATGGAATATGAGTGAAAGCTTAGAAAAACTATTAGAGAGAATTAAGGAAAGCTTAGCAAAGCATAGAATAGCGAGGTTGTGTTTGTAAATTAGCCACAACTATTATTGTAGTATTGTAATATTATGGTAATATCGTTGTAACGTATTTTATCTCGTATTAATAAAAGTGCGAGTTATATAAATTATCGAGTGTCCATCTATGCTTTCAACAAATATCAGGGATGTGAGCTTTCAATATAGAAAATTTGAAAGTTATCTTTCAACAGATATTGTTTTGTACTTACTCCATATTAATAAAAAAATATTACATAAAATATTTTTTCAACAATAAAAGTTCATTTTATTTATTAAAAAAAACACCCATATTTAATACATATGAATTAATTGAGCAACTTTAATAGTTAAAAGAAAATATCATTTAAAAATTTTAAATTCAAAGCTGAGATATAATAATTAAGAGAATTTTTGAACAGTATAACAATATAAGACTATTAATAAACATATATGAATTCATCCGTTTATTAACATTTCTGGTAGAAAAATAATGTTTTAAGTAGTGTTTTATTAAAAATATTAAAAAAATAATAACATTTTTAATAACGTATTTTCTTAATCGTATACTAAACATTCCTTTACTTTGGAGGTTGTGCTTGGACAATACATGTGCAGCCATATTTGCATGACGTCAAGTGTATCTGAAAAACGTAGCAATTACACTTCCCTGCCATCAGAGGAGCTTCCTCAAATAATGCATCCCATTGGAAAGTAAATGTAATTTTAGCTTCTTTACAGGAATCATCCTCAGTCTCCGATTGGAAATTAAGAATCGCCTGATCTCGCCACTGCAACAGCTGAAGGCACCCATAGCTGCCCCAATCAATTTTTTAGAAATGTAACTATTAGTTAATCCTAAAATTTTAAATTTGTACATATTTATTTATTAAATAATTTAAAATAATTGTAAGATAGTATTTATTTAAAAAAATTAATTGTTGATTATACACACATTTTATTAATGCAAATGCTTAAACTCGGCCTCTAAAGAGAGTAACACTTTTTTTTATAATTAATGTCACTCAATGAGTTCAATTCTTATATATTTTAAATATTTTTTATTTTCTATTAATAATATGTTTTTACTCCTTAAAATTATATAAACCCATTATAACATAAAATTTTACTTAGTTATTATCTCCTATTTTCTAACTCAGATTATTATAATTTTTTTAGTAAGATTCAAATTAAGAATTACCTTAAAGATATACTTAAAATAAATTACACATGAAACTGTTCAAGTTGGACATCCTTGGCCTTGAGAGGAACATACTCCCCAAGATAAACCTCGAGATGATCGGCTAAAGAAGACTTGTCTATATTCTCATGGTGATACGATTTGCACACAAAGTAGATGACCGTTTGAGCAACAAGACCGAACAGCATAACGCTAAACAACATCAAGAAGCAAAGTACCGGAATCCCTATTCTCATTCCGACGCTCATCGACCAATAAAACAACACGCCGATCTCGAACACGGCTTGAATCACGATAAAACCAACGACGAGCACCAGAAACACGGCGGCCGCCACCCCTATCTTACCCTTTATCAACGCCTTGCTCTTCTTCATGGCCTTGAACCCGTAATCATCTTCCAACACCGAAACCACGCTGGCCAATTGCCAGACCAAGGAAACATAAACAAGTCCCGCCAAGTATGGGATGAAAAGCAGAACGAAAACCGACATCCCCAACCCGCCGAATCCCAGAACAGCGAGCGGCACCAACAACAACACGCCGGAAGCGACGTCGTAGACGAAAACGACGGCGAAACTCCACAGGAACGTCACGAAAAGCCGCTTCCAAACCTTGGGTACGACGCTGATGACCTTCTTGAACGAGGTTTCCTTGCCTGTGTAAATGCATGCGATGGTGTAAACCACGGCGGATGTCGAGAGGAGTGAAAGGACGAGAAGGAAAGTGAAATACGCAGCTTTGAAGAGCCAAAACAAAACCCATTCAGTCGATATTAAATCAGACAATTTCTCATACCCAGGCGTCCCTGCTCGTGCATAATTCAAGGCGTCTTGGTTATCCAAAATATTGGCAAAAATGAGCTGAGAGATTTGGATGTGAGCTAGGAAGATGAAGGAGAGAGGGAAAATGAAGGAAAGAGTAATCTGGGTAAAGATTTTTCTCCATGAACATATGATCTTCAATGATTCTTTCAATATGCCAAAGAAACCCAGGAATTGAAGCTCTTCCTGCTCTCTATCCATGATAATTTCTCCACTTTGTGTGTGTGTGTGTTTTTTTTTATCCCTTTGATTCTTAAATAAATTGAGTGATGAGGGTGGGAAGCTTGTGGGGGACTAAGATAATGGGGTGGTTGTATTTAATAATGATAGACTGATTCAAAGTGTTCATTGACCCTTCTCTTCCAACTAAATTACAAAACTTGTTTGGATTTTTTTTTGTTGGAATTTTAGATTTATTCAAATTTTATATAAATTGTACCTATGAAGATATTTAAGTTAGTTAAGAAAGCATTCAATGCCAAGAAATTTCGGGTGGAATTGCAGACTTCACACCCTTTGCCACTGTTCCTTGAAAATTAGATGGTACGCATGATTTCATTACTTAACTTCTCCTTTTTCTTTGTATGTTTCTTTGTTCTAACAATATTTTTAATTAATAGTTTTGATTTTGTTGAATAAAACTAAAAATTTTAATAAATTAAAGTAAACTAAATTATAATATAAAATATAATCATACAAGAAAATAATTAAAATCAAATCAAATAATTTAGAAAACGATAGATACACTATCAACGGTGAAAGATAAACATCATCAAAATTAACATACTAATAAATTGAATTTATCATAATTAAATCATGATTTATCCATAAAATAGAACCAACCTAGAAGTTTAAAAGAATAGATCACTAAAACAATCAAATAGACGTCAAGTAAAGAAGCGGCATTAAATTTAATCATGATAAATGAGAAGGTATATTACTAAATTATTCATTATTAGAAAAAAAAATAGAAAGGCTAATTATATAAAATAATAAAAATTATTTATGTAAAGTAAAAATATGATAAAAATTATTGACAGTTTGAAGAAAAAGAGAAGAGGAAAAATTAATAATTTATAATCAAATTAAGAATGATGTTATCACTAACGATAAAAAATATAAGAGGAAAAACAGCATAAAAGTATAATTAAGGAGAAAATTTTCAAAATTTTTATAAATATACTCAATTTTGAAATATATCTATAAAAGAAAGAGAAAATGAAATTTAAGGAAGGTAAGGGGGACATATTGGTAATTGGAGTTGAGGGTGGGCTTCTTTGTAATGGCCAAGAAAAGTAAGCAACTTGGTTTGGGCTTATCAGAAAAAACCGGCCGTGGAAAGTTCGTGGGAGGAAGTTAGTTGAAGCGTCTTCTTTGCTTGGGAGTCGAGTTTCGAGGTCAACGCCAACACAAACGCAAACCGCACAGCGTTCCGTTTTCTCCTATTCCAAGAAACGACGTGTATTTTCCCATTTTATATTGTTGATATTTTTAATATTTATAAATGAAATATTATTATTATTATTATTATTTTAGTTATTAATACAATGTACTATTATTATTATTTTATTTATTATTTGATGTATATAAATAGATTAAATTATAATCAATGACGAATTTAGAAATTGAGAAATGAAGAACCAAAACTTTTACTAATTAGTATGTAATTTTTCTTATTTTTTATTCTCCTTGATAAATTAAATTAGATTTAACAGTTTTCTCAAAATAATGGGTATACAAATGATCCCTTAAGGGTTGCATACATCTACCTCTAATTATAATCAAGTGTTGAGAATAATATGATTATTCTTAAAAGTCCTTAATCAAATATTATTGTGGGCATAGACAACAATAATTCATCAAAATAAATGTGTTGTTGATTGATGATAATGAGTTGACATTCACGTAGAGATGTCAAAACCAATACATATGTATGGATTGAAGAACAACATATTAGATTGACCCGCTATGAGTATGTTTATTGGATCATTATGTGACAATCACAACATCACTCATACAATAGCTAGATATATGATCCTCAGACTTAAGATCATCATTTTCCTAACATTGTGAGTTGTATATTTTGATGCAGTCAAACGTATGTCGTAACTGGTTGTAATATAATATTGATGTTGCACATGTCACGATCTATGTAATGAGATATGGTTGACCAACATAAGAATTATACTTCCTAATCCTATGTAATAAGAGTAATATCTTAAGTCGTTTGATTGAGTGAGACTATAAAATTCATGATAATATTTAATTATTTCATTCATTCTTTTTTTAATCTCTAAAATTATTAAATTTTATATTCGTTTCAGAAAGATATCAATCGAGTTATTATATATCTTCTAAATCCTAGTCGTTCCCAAGTTTCTCTTTCTCTCGTCTCTTTGTTTTCTTCTATGTCATTTGAGAAAACTAATCTCCATTTCTTGTTTTTAAAATTTCAATATCATTCAAAGATCTCAAGAACATTTGATCCAAACTCGGGCTTTCCCATCAAACATGGACCCTTAATAGTGACCAAATAACTAGAGGTTCACCTCTTCCTCATGTTGAGGATTCAATTTCTAATGCAATAAAAAAATATGAACACAAACAAAAGGAAAGGGAAAATGTATAAAAGATTTTGTATGTACATATCCAATTTTAGAAGAGCTGCATATCACATCAGTGCTGGATTTTGTATGCACATATCCAATTTTAAAAATATCTTGTTTGATCCTTTAATTATAACTAAAATTCCATTTTTGATGTTTTTTATCATTTTAAGTAATAATTTTAAAAATGAATTTAAAATTTTAGTTTTTTTAAATATATGAAATCAATTTACTTTTAGAATTAAAAATTATAATTTTTTATAAACTTTCCATTCATCAAATTATTTTAGAACTAATTATTTATTAGTTGTGATTGTATTTGTAAAAATTAAAAAATTTATAACTTTTTAGATTAAAAAACTGAATTATCAAACAATATTATTATTTTTTTATTAAATGATAATTCAAGCATTTGAATTTTGTTTAAGAAGTCTAAACAAAACTTTAAAAAAATACATCTACAATATTATAGTATCATATTAACAAAAAAATACATCCAAACTTAAATAAAATAATAAAAAAAACTCTTAACTCTTAATAATGTATTAAGTAATTTATATGATATAAATTTAAATGTAACACTAAAAATAATATTTAATTTATTTATATCTATTTTGTATTCTATTGAGTTAATCGATCGACGAAATAGCCAAGAGGGGGGTGAATTTGCAATAAAAATTTTGGTGGAAGCTTTTGCATAAAAATAGAAAATAATTGCACAACGATTTAGAGTGGTTCGACTTTCTCAACCAAAGTCTACGTCCACTACCTTAGCTATCCACACTAAGGATTTTCCACAAATTCACTAATTTGTCTTTCTTTTGAGGAAAAAGAGTAACCTTACAAATCCCTCAAGAATTATACCCCAAATTCTTGAGAACACTCTCCCAAAGAGAACAATACAAATTTTGCAAACTTACAAAAAAACCTCACAAGGCAATGTGTTTGCACAATTCTAGAACAAGAAAAGAACACTTAAAGATGATTACAAATGAGCACAATATGTGTTCTTGAAAGCAAAATGAATATTGAAGGAAAATTAACTTGAAATGCACAAAATTTATGTTTAATGCTTTCTCTCTTGTTTCTAAATGAATTTGTTTTTGATCAATGGCTTCAGAACTTGTTTAAATACACCTTGGATTGATTATAACCGTTGTGAATCATTTGGGTGATGTTAGAGTCGTTGTAGTGTGAAAACCCTCTTGAAAAAGGCTGCTAGGAGCATGGGGTATCGATACCTTTTCAATGGGTATCGGTACCTGCATTGTAAAATTCAAATATTTCGACAGTTACATGACTATGGGTATCGGTACCCATAAGGCATTATGTTTTTCTCAGACCCAAAACTTGTATAGGGGTATTAGTACCCTATGTGGAGTATCGGTACCCATTGGGCAATCTATTTTTCTCGGATCCAAAATTTGGCATAGGGGTATCGGTACACCCTATGAGGGGTATCGCTACCTCCCTATTTAAAAATTATTTTTGGCTCGATTAAGGCTCGAAATTGTTTCAAAAATATTTTAAGATTAAAACACAATTTTAAACTTAAGTAAATATTGAAATTGACATTTGAAAAACTTGGAGTAATATTTTGATATTCGAATAATTTAATCGAATATACTTTAAAAATGATCATAAAATCTTAAAATCAAATAACACTTAATTTGTTATATCGAGACATCAAAATGTTTTCAACAATCTCCCCCTTTTTGATATAACAAAACAATTTAGTAATTTTAAGATTTTCTTTGAAAAATCATTTTTGAAAAATTACTACTCCCCCTTACTCTAACACTTCTCCCCTTTTTGTTAAATCAAAAAGACTCTAAAACGTTTGTAAACAAGGTTTTTGAAAAATTCGATAATTGATATTTAGATATAGCGTAAGCTGCTAAGATCAAAGTCAAGAGAGGATTAGCCATTAGTCCATAATCAATATTCATAAACATTGTGTAATGGTAATTGGTCATATATTCTAAATGATGAAAAATGTAATGTTTAAAGATTAAATCAAAACTCAAATAACTAATAAAAATCATTCAAACCAAAATAAACATCCAAACAAACAATTCAAACATCCAAACTCCATAACAAACAAATCCAAATATTCAAAATGTTTTAACAATAATATCCTAAGTTCAATCCATAAAAACAAAGCAAGAATGGTCTAATCATCCATCGGTGGAGCAGGAGGCGATAAATGTGCCCATATATTGGCCACATCACGTGTAAGTGCGACTACCCTCTTATCCATAGCATCGAAATAATGATTCATCGCTTCATTGTTAGCAGTTAGGTGTGCGTCGATGGAGGCAAACCTCATGTCAAGATTCTCCATAAACGATAGGAAGTATGGAGGCATCTGACTATCTTGATGTGTCGGCTCATCATCGATATCTTGCATAAGTTGTTGAAGCTTTGGATCATCGTCCGCAGCTGGTGCCGATGCAGGTGGAGCTCGTGAAGAACTAGCTCCTTGTGTTTTCTCAGGGGATCGAACTCATTGATCATTTTCCTTCTTCCATTCCAATTTCTTTAAAGATGTCAGATTGATTTCGTTTTTTAGAGGGATGACTACATCAAGCCGAACCTTAAGCTGGGATTTGATAAACAAGTTACTCAGAAGACAACCGTAAACTAGAGTTTCACAAATTTTCTTATTAG